TGTTCAAACGACACCACACTAATCATATAGAAGATTGAGTCCCGGTGAAATAAATTGTTTTTTTTTTTACATATAATGTAACTTATAATGTGATGAACAAAAGATATCTCCTAGACATAAGATTTAAATAATGGATACTTTTTAGCTGTGATGTATCAAAGGTGTTCTACAAGCACAAGTTTTACATCTTTGGTGCACCATAGTTCAATTATCCATTATTAAGCCTTATATATTATCTTGTCTATTAAATCTTTTGTTTATTATAATTACAAGCTACATTATATAAATCATTTTCGTGATTTTTCACCATTGACCATTTCTCACTTTCCATATAATTAATGTAGGGTTTTTTCGATCAACAATTATGTCCTTCTTGTAAAATATCTTAAATATATATTTCAGATACGCTACGGTGTACGGGAATATGCTAGAACCGCGATCGACATGATCGCACGTCGATTACGACTCGCTTTCCTCAATGTCCAAGCGGCTCAAGAGGCGCTGCCAGGTATCATAGATATCATGGCCGAGGAATTGCATTGGTCGGCAGAGGAGAAGAAGAAGCAGCATCGCGAGGCCAGTGAGTTTCTCGCTCAAGAGATGGGTCAGATGGTGAACCGTGCTTCCCGCGACAAGATTCCTATCAATCTCACCAAGGATGAGATCCAACTCTACATCAAACGCTTCCGAATTATAGACAAGGACAAGAAAGGATATGTGTCTATCAATGACATTAGACGAGGACTAAAGGTTTGCATATATATATTTTTGCATCTCTTCAGTATCTCTGATATTTTTTATCTACTTCCGCTTTCTTTAATTATCAATATCCATTAACATCGCCGATACACAGGTATTAGGTATACATATGAACCAGGATGAGATGCACAGCTTGTTGAGTGAAATTGATGTTGCTTACAATGGCCAAATGGAATTACCAGATTACTTGCAGGTAAATCATCAAACATATACTCAATGTATATTCTTTCTCTTCACAGCTCTTTGGAGATAAGGAAGTACCGGGTGAAGAACTTCACGAAATTCTGCGTGAAATCGACACCAATATGAACGGTCAAGTTGAATTGGATGAATATCTTCAGGTCTGTGACATTGCGCTTTATGCACACAGTCACAGTCGGATTTCTTTTCGCATATTTGTTTTTTCATTATGCATTGTACAGTGCAATAGTTTTTCAGAATGATCTCGTTTCTTTTTTAACACGATTATGTGTAGCAATTCCCAATAATAATTTCTGAATTGACAGAGAAATTAATAATTAGCAATTAGTAAAATTATCAGTTTGTTGCAATGCCTTGTGTTCTTTTTTGTATTTATATTGCATGCATTATGATGTAATCAAAGTTATTTCATACTTTTTTTTTCGAATATTTTAACATTTGCCAAATCATTTTTTTATTCTATATATACATATATAAACTTATATCATTTTTTATATATAGATGATGTCAGCTATAAAATCTGGCCATGTGGCATATTCACGTTTTGCACGGATGGCTGAAATGGAGGAAGCGCAGCACGAAAAGGAAACACTCAAGAAACAAATAAGCGTCGAGAGATCAGGGGGAGGGCTATAAAATAGACCAGCCTTAGGAATTGGAATTTTGGAATATTTTAATTTCACATTTGACAGGTTTTACTATCGTGTATTTATATCTAAGAATATCAGTTTATACGATCGAAACGAAAAGAATCAAATAATCTCTCTTGCGAAATGAAACTCTATTACGAATAATATCTTTAAAAAAGTATATTATAATCTGCAAATGTTTCGTATCGAATAATTCGCAACATACGAATTTATATACTCACGTCCATCGCGTAGATTTTTATCGATAAGTGATTGAAGTCAATTACAAAGAAAGATTTATTTATATGCGTAGTATCCCTTTTCACAATTTTGACGTGCATTATTTGTATGTAACATCTATATTATGTACAAGATGGAGCACAATCGCATTCTTTCTATTTGTATATACAATGCTGATGCAACATACTTGTAATAATTGTATTGTATATTTTTGTTAAATTGGAAAAAATTTCGTTGCCTTAATTGAAATTCTGGTAGCGACCAGAAAAATACCAATAAGACACAATTAAATCTATTGAACATTTTACTCGAGATAACCAGAATTCTAATTCATTTAATGAATTTTGTTTGTTGGTGTAACCAGAATACTTTTCTCGGTGTAGGAGTATAATTTATGTAATATTGGGACTTTAGCATCCTAAATTGCCTTGACATTCATAGTATTTATAGCATTATAATGTACATTATGTATTATTTAATCACTCGCTTTTTTGTTCAGTACTAGACGTTTATTTTCTGCAAAATTATGAGTATAGCGTTGCTGTAAGATACGCTTGTAATACGTCATTTTAAAGAAATTTTGTCATCTGGTTTCTGAAACTAAACCGGTAGTAATGTGAACTACTATCTTTGTATCATTACTAATATATGCTAAAATTGTACAAACTACAGATATATAGTGAGAAATCATCTAATGTATATTATCACTGTAATGTGACACAGTGACAGGCACTTGTAATTTATCTCATCATCTCATCATCATTATCATCATCATTATATGAATAAAATCGATAGCAAACGAATAATTTGTAGTACTGTTTTTCCAATTTTTTTTTGTCAAATATTGGTAACATGCTACAAATTATATCGCATATTGTCGACACTCACCGGTCAGACAACGTATGGCGTATCGAGAAAAGAATTTTCTGATAACTTTATCGTCAGATGATTAGGAAAGGAATTGTTTAAGAATTCAATTCTAGATATTTTTTTTAGAATAAGTCTAGGTTTCCGAATTTCATTTTACGTGTATGAGGTTGAAACCCTTATGCAAGGAAGGAGATAAGGCAGCTGATCGTCTGACGAATACTTTTTCTTTTTCGTGACTTTCTTGAAAGTAAGAAGCGCTTTAAGGGGATATGGAGTGACCAAATTATCACATTACAGTCGTATAAAAATCTTCGAATTGACTGAACGGAATAAAAAATCCTTTTGTAGGATTAAAATAGACACAAAATTAAGAGGTGGTGCAGTGGATTTTTGTCAAATATTGGTAACAGAATGTTAAAAGAATGTTAACAAATTTTTTAACTTTTTTTCGATTTTAGTACAAGATTCACTGCACCACCTCCTAAAATTTTGCGTCTACTTTAATCCTACAAAAGGATTTTTTATTCCGTTCAGTCAATTCGAAGATTTTTATACGACTGTAATGTAATAATTTGGTCACTCCAGCATCCCCTTAATTTACAGATTCCAGAACATACAGATCCTGGAACCCATTTTCCTAATTTTTAAATAATGATTTGGAATAATTTTATGTTTTACAATCTGATTTTTCAGTTGTTCTATTCATGTAGGATGTGGGCTAATTATCGTACTATATCCCTCCGTCAACAATGTGAAATTTTCATCCTTTATTCGCAACCTGAGTCTTCGAACTTTAGTGCAGATTCTTTTATTGTTCCAGACAATATAAAAAACTAAAAAAATTCTTGCATATTTGTGAAATCCTCAACAACTAATTTTTAATATCATAAAAGTTAAATTTCATTAATTTTTTTATAGATTTAAATTTATCTAAAATCTAAAAATTCACAATCAAAAAATTGACTGTGCTTTTAAAGTCCAATATGTTTGCGTTAAATTCATTTGTAATTTTTTATATAATTGAAAATTTTGAAGCTTAAAACTAATAACAAAAAAAAAACAGATTCCAAAGATCATAAGTTCTTTCGGCGTAACAAAAACTGCTCTTGGCGCCGAGACACTACCGTGTCTCCAGATACGTGATCCTATTACGGGTTAATTCGAAAATCATCAATCGTCAAGGAACATTCCCGAGAATTCTCGCGGATCATAGATCGCGACACGTGTCCTATCACACGAGCTGTTCACCCGCGGTCGGTATACGCTAGGTGAAAGGTGGGAGGAAGCGGAAGACTAGAGAAAGTAGGAGGTACGCGTGGTTTAGCCCCCTTTAATAGGGTGGGCGTCCGCCGCGAGCGTTCCCGCGTACGCCCCTGCCGAACGACGCCCCGGCGAGCTGCCGCCCAACTTGATTGGTCGATGGTGATGGCCGACCGGTCGCGCGCGCCGCAACCAGCCAATCGGCGAGCCCGTGCCATCGTGTCGAGCGAAACGGCGACGTTGCCGTTCGCGCACCGCCCATTGGCACCGCGTTCGTGGATACGTTCGCTCGTGTTTTCTCGAACTAGCACTCGTTTGGGACGATATTTGTTGGTGTTCGTTGTGCACATTTCTGCGAGCGCGGATGGGCAATTAAACTGGACGAGACGGAACGTGCGCGGTACTCGTATATCACGCGTGCACGTGCCAGTGGATTTAATGAATCGCGGTCGGGAAACTCGTTGGCTCCACTTTGTCCCACGGTAGCGTTGAGTAAGCTGGAGTAAGCGTGTCTTTCGCGATTCGACGGTAGCGACGGTATACTCGTAGGAACGCTAATCTGGCTAATCTCGCTGGCGCGCATCCCCTTCCTACACGGATAGCGTGATCGAGCTCGATCGTTCGCGGATCGAACGACGCGAAGCGATCCGCGGACTGATAGCGTCGCTACGGCACAGTGCTCCGGAGGTGGACGACGCGCGTCGCGTGGCACGTGCGGATGTCTGTGTGTGCGCGCGCGCGCGCGCGTCTCACACAGAAGTACTCGGTATGCGGGGACGAGGACGTGCGGGCTAGGCGACCGCGCGTCGGTGAGGAATACCTGTGAATGCGATTGTTTGCAACGTTTTCGCGTACAAGACGCGGATGGTATGGCGTAACTCGTTTAGTTTGCCCTTGCCGAGTCGACTCGCTGCGAACGAACGCGTCGCGTCTCTATCGAAGAGGAGGCGACGCATGTTTTCGTATAGTCGTGTGATCAGCGAAATACATTTGAGCCAAGTTGGACACTGGCGCATTGGTGTGGTCAACAGTAGTGGTGATGTTGATTTAACGTTGGCGATTGGCGCGCGTCGGCCTGGCGTTTTTGGTGGTTTGGCAGTGTGAGTAGACAGGCCTCTTCGAGGGCAACACGTGTTTGTTTCCATGTTAGGTGGAGTCCCGGTGTGGCAAAGTGGGTGGAGGCTGGGCATCGCGAGTCGTGCCTTCCCCGTTATCGCGGGTCGCTCGCGCCGTCGCGAGAGCGCGAACGAGCGGCGGATGACCGAGTGGGCGGTAATGACGACACGAGGCTCACCTTGCCATCATGTCGGGCCGCGTGCGCGTGCCACATTTATGAATCGGGTAGGGGCGGTGGGGAAACAGGGGCGTAAGGAGGCGGTCCTCGATCGGGTTCTCGGGCGTCCTCCTTGGGTGCTCGTTGCAGCCGACCGGCCTTCTTTGTTCCCTCGTCGGGGAAAGAGAGAAAGAGAGAGAGAGAGTGTGTGAGAGGGGGGGAGAGGGAGAGAGAGGAGTTAGCGTCTTTTGCACATGCTAGCAGAGCTCGATGTCAACATGCTCCAACACTCGTAACCCCTACAAGGAGTTGAAAACTGCACTTTTCCTCTCTCTTCTAGCTTTCTCTGTTTAAACCCCCGCGTAAAATCCCCAATGCTCCAACTAAAGCTCATGGCACGTACAAAAACGTAAGGCCGTAAGACGTAAGCAGTAAGGAAATCGTAACATTGGATTCGCTACTGGCCTTACGGTCTCTACCGTGATTGGCCAATTCGCTTACTGATTACGTCTTACGGCCTTACGTTTTTGTATGTGCCATGGGCTTGATTCTTTGGATTTGGAAACTGCTCCTTTTCTCTTCTAACTTCCTTCTTTAAACTTCCGTGTTAAATTCCAGTGCTCCGACCAAATTGTTAGCACAATTCTCGATTTGAGATTTTTTTATTCAGATTAATAAAATGAGATATTACTCATATAAATGTATAAGTATAATTAGCACTAAACAACTAACAAAGTCTCTTCTTCCTGTCTCCTTTCATTTTTCTCTCTTTCTGCATTTCTTTAAAAATAGGAATCCTTGGAAATGATTCTCTGACTTTTCTGAAACCAACGCATTCTTTCTATACATCTCTTTCATTCTATTATCTTAATTATAATTGCTATAATTCCCTAATATGAGCTTCTTTACATAATTAGTTACTATAATAGACACAATTCTCTAAAAATAATATTTCTTTATAGGAACACCATTTCTGTGAACGATTCGTTTCTTATAACTCCAAGAAGATCGCCAATGTAGTTGTTATATTATAAATATTGTTCCTAGCACACTCGACATGAAATGACACTAGATTCGTTGTTATAAATTGTATAGAGTGCAAAACGAAATCATTCATCATGAAACGGAGCATGGACGGCAGGAATCTTTCACAGGTAAGATTATTATGTTACTAGTTCTTTATTTTATTATGTTACTAATACTTCATTTTTATAATATTACTTCTTGAATTTGATATGTTGATAAATGATATTTTTTATATAAATATTATATATACATATTTATACATAACAATCAACTTATAAACGATATAATTACTTGTAGGACGAAATCGAAGAGCAGGATCCTTTGCAATCTCAACAGCAACAGCAAGATGATGCAGATCAACAGTTAGAGCAACAGCAGCAAGCTGTCCAGCCACAGATTCGTTTTCTAAGCGCTAATGTGTTGCAGCAGTTGCAGCAACAGCAAGATGTTCAGCAAGCTCAGCAGCAGCAACAACAGCAACAGCCACAAGTTATTACCCTGCAAAACTTTGTGCCTTTACAAGCTCAACAGCCGCAACACGAGCAGCAGAGAACGCAAGCAATTTCTGTCCAATCGCTACCTCATCAATTCTTGCAAGTACGAGAAGACACAATTACCTATATTAGAAAAACAGTACTGAGAAAAAATTATACATTTGATATATTATATTTGACTTAAATATACAGTCTCCAATGAAAGAACTAAAGACAAACTAAATTAACGTAGTTAAATGATTAATTTTTCTTCTCGGTGCATGTTTATAAATTTGTTATTCTTTAAAGTCTACTTTATACGATCTATAATTCGCGATCAAATTCAGAACAGAATTCTATTTATAATTTTGCGTATCATATAACATAGAACACATTTGAAAAAATAAAATACACACATATAGAAAATTGATATTTTCGCGAATTATAGATCGTATAAAATAGGCTTTAAAGAATAACAAATTTATAAACATGCACTGAGAAGAAAAATTAATTATTTAACTACATTAATTTATAAATAGAATTCTGTTCTGAATTTGGTCGCGAATTATAAATCGTCTAAAGTGCGCTTTACTTAATTTTAATTTATAAACGCACTTTTATTTCACAGGGTGCTCAGATTATCAGCGGTGCTCAGGCACAAGCGGCTCTTCAACAGCAGCAGCATCAGCAGCAGCAACAACAGAGCCAGCAACAAGCCCAGCAGCAGCAAACGCAGCAGCAAGCTCAGCAGCAGCAAACGCAACAGCAGCAGCTTAGTTATAGTGTAATCCCACAAATGCAGACTGTTAATATAGATGGTCAGGAAGCTCTGTTTATTCCATCCTCAGCGATGTCGGCTGCGAGTGCCCATCACCAAGCGCAACCAACAATGCAATTTGCTACTGCAAATGGCCAACAAATGCAACTTGCCGGCCAGCAGGTCCAACTAGCAAACGGACAGACAATTATCACACCACAACCAGTTAGTCTTATAAGAGCACCGAATGTCTTTCCTACTTCGATTATACAAAACATTACGGGACAAACTGTTCAGTTGCCGACAGGTATGTTCTTCATTGCAATCGCTTATAATCGCATGTTTTTTATAAAATTGTTTTGTGCTAAATGTAATTTATGCGTGCTTTGTAATTAAAATTTTCCAATTACAAGATTTGTTCGCGTTGCTTGCACTTTTTACATTCAAAATCTTTGCTTCTTGTCTCTTTAACATTCGAATATATTTCTCTCATTTTATGTGCAAAAATTTCAAGGGGGGATTTCAAGCAATGCGAATAGGTTTTTTATTAATAAGTATGTCTAAGCAATTTTAACATATTTAAGATGATGGAATAATGTGTATTGTTCTAGGACAAAGTGTACAGGTAAGACCGCTGCAATTTCCTATGCAACATGTTCAGCAAGCGGTACCTGTGCAATTACCGGTCACTGCCAATAACGGGCAAACCGTTTATCAGACAGTACATCTTCCTGTCCAGTCCCTATCCAGCGTCTTCAATATGCCCACGACGCAAATGATACCACAAATTATGCAAGTAAGTAATTCAGAGGCCCGACAATATCTCACGCAAGTCTCATAATTAACACTATATAACAATTGAAATACCAATTAATAATTTCTGTATGCGACAAATATTGTAAATTATAATATGAAATGTACATTCTGATTATTTTAATTTTAGCAAATACCTCAAGTGGCGCAGATTATCACGCCGAGCGGTCAAATTCAGCAAGTGCAAATTGCTAGTTTACCGCAATTGCAAAACCTTCAGGTAAATATAAATCAAATTCAACAATAAATGAAAATCTGAAATGTATCATTATTCAAAACATTATTTTAAGAGCATATATATACGCCATTACGCAAGATATTGGAAGTGAATAATATTCAAATTTATTAATTTTAAATTGTAATTATGTATAAATATAAACGTTTCGGCACGATTGTGAGTAATGTATCGCACGTACGTGAAATTATATACGAATCGGTTTTCAATACTTCCCTATAAAATACATGAGCTAAGAGAGGTCGGAATCGAACTCAGGACTTGCTGAGTACAAATCAGTCGTTTTCGCAAAGAGCTACGAGTCATTCCTTCAACATTATTTTTTTCATAACCTTATTAGATAAACATTTAATGTACTATTACAGAGTCAGCAAGTAACGCAAGTTGCACATCAACAAGCACAACAACAAGTCGTCCAACAACAAACTCAACAACAAGTGGTACAGTCGGTGCAGCAGCAACAACAAGTCGCCCAAGCCCAAGTACAGCAACAGCAGCAAGTGCAACAAGTGGTACAGCAGGTGATACAGCAACCAGCATCGTCCCAGCAGCAGCAGTCGCAACAGCAGCAGATGCAACAGTCCTCCACTCCATCGTCAACAGTAGCGACTTGGAGCACAACAGTTGCATCTCCCAGCAATGTTCAAGTAATATACTTCTAAATTTGAATATTAACATATTAATAATATGTATATAAAGTTATTCTAAATGTATGCTATACGTTTCTTAGGTACTTGGTATAGGTACGTTGGGAAGAAACATAACAGGAAGTAACGTTATTACCACAAAAGACGGTCAAAAAATCGACGTGCAGACATTATCTAGTTTGACAAGGCCGCCCGAAACGGTAGAAGGTGACATCAAAGTAACTAATATCGATGCGAGTCAATTAACTAGTGGGCAAGTAATACATATCCCTGCTCCGCAATCGGCTCAGCCTACAGTGCAACCTATTACGATCACAGGTAAGTGAATTGTTGTGTGCACACATTGTATTAATAAGCACAAGATGGGAATAAATTAATAATACAAACAGACGGAGGGGATTTCTTTGTACAAAAATAAGTCAAAAGCAGAATAATTTTTTTTTGTTCGAGGCTTTATTTCCGAGAAAATCAAGTTTGAAAATCATGAAGTACGCGTACATTTAACGAATATTTGATTTGTGAAAGACATTAAAAAAACGTTATCATATTTACATAACGACTTTACAAGTGGATTAAAAAAATATGACAAATAGTTAAATTTTATTTATTTTATTAAAAGAGAAGTTGCTCACAGCAAAAAATCAGACGAAAAAAGTTTATTCTGCATTTTCGACTCATTTTTGTACAAGAAATTATCCCCCGTTCGGTTATATTAAGTCTACGTCCTAGATATTGAAAGATTATCAAATTTTTAATTTCTACTGATACATTTCTTCATAATTTTTAATTTTGCAAACAATGATTAATGTTGCAAATAATTCTTATTTATACAGGAACGCAAGGACAACAGTTAACGCTTATACCTGCGTCCGCATTAGCGAATTTGACTGCGCAACAAGGTAACATGATGAGGAATGTGAGCAATGGAAGTATAATGCAAATTCAGCCAACTGCCGGAATGAATACGACCAATGGTTTCTTACAATCGATACCCGTGCAAAATATCCCAGGCTTAGGCAATGTGCAAGTAATACCGGCAAGCGCATTGCAGCCGGCTACAGTTCAAACGTTACCGGCCACTGTTCAAGCCGCGGCCACTCCTATCGTCGCGACTACACCAACTGTGCAACTCGATTCAAATGATCCTACTAAATGGCAGATTCTCCAAACCCTTCAGCACGGAACCTTGACAACGTCCGCTACACCTGTATCTCATCAACAAATATCGAACACAGCTTCTCCCTCCAATGACACTAATGATCCGAATAAGCAGCATCGTAGAAGAGTCGCGTGTACATGTCCCAATTGTGGTGATGGCGATAGGTGAGCGATAGCTTCTTTCAGCCATATCAATCAAACATTTGTTTGTGATACTATTGAATAATAGTCACATATATGTGTTAACTGCGTTCAGCCGAGAAAACTAATCAGTTAGCGCTTAGTGATTCTTCAATATAATCGGTTCCTACACTTAGATCCAGTGAAGAATTAAAGGCAAGAACCAATCATATTAAAGAATCTAACTAAGCACTAACTGATTAGTTTTCTCTGCTGAACGCAACCATTGATATACCTTCATATTTCTCTTTAGAAATAGAGATATAACCAGGAAACGACAACATGTATGTCACATTGCTGGATGTAATAAAGTATATGGAAAAACGAGCCATCTACGTGCTCATTTACGCTGGCACACTGGCGAACGTCCTTTCATCTGCACTTGGATATTTTGCGGTAAAAAGTTCACTAGATCCGATGAACTTCAGAGGCATCGCAGAACCCATACGGGTGAGAAACGTTTTCAGTGTCCAGAATGTACAAAGAAATTTATGCGATCGGATCACCTAACGAAACACATCAAAACGCATACGAAGATACGGAGCACGGTAAGTACAGCAAATTTGAAACGCATCGCAAGCAATGCACTGTTATTTACTGAATTTTAGGAAGCTGCCACTTCGACGCAGGAAGGCTCGTCTGACAGTCAGTCTTCCACTGAGCAAAAAATCATGATAGCTCTGCACAAGGAGGAGCAATCTGACATTATCATAGCAGAGCCGATCGAATCCATAAAAAACGACTCGTCGAATCATGTAACAAATGACTAAAAATTTTAATATAGTATAAAATCAGACAGCAATCAGCTTATGGTATCAATAGGCGAGTTCAAGCCGGCAAAGCAGCTAGGCATGCTTGTCGAGCGAATGAACATGGTTGGTTCCTATCAGAGAATCCAATCAAGTTTAAATTGCTCGGCGAGCAGACCTAGCCGCTTTGTCGACTTGAAAGCGTCCAATATTATAATACAAATTTTATGATGAATCAATATATTCAGTATTAAATTTTTGAAAAAAAAAAAGAAAATTTCATTCGGTAGAAACAAATCTTAAATCATAGACTATATTCTAGCGCATTCTAGAGTGTAAAAATTAAAAAAAGGAAATTGTTATGTGCATAATATAGCATATAAGTGCACAGTAAGTTATAAACACATAAATTATATAAATTATATCATGTAATTATATAAGATATTGAAATTAGCGTTACATTGGTCAAGCGATTCATTGACCTATTTGTTTTAAAATAAATAAAAATAGTATGGTAGCGAGTTTATAGGTATAGCGATAATTCATAATATACAATCTATTTTTTTATTACGGTTATGTATATATATATATATGTGTGTGTATATAATGTAAATTAATGTATACAATTTTGCACGAGAAAGTTTTACACTGTAAACATTTTTTCATATTATAAGAAGTCGAGAGATATTTAGCTTCCTTTTTAATTTATCTAGTTATTTTAAACCGGACACAGCTTCGTAATATATCGCACGCGTGCTACACATAAGTTTTATCATAGGAGATTTTTGCTTGAATTTGAATCGTGTACATAGATCTTAAATAATGCGGTCGCTTAGCGAGGTTGTCTGTCTGTCTTGCAATATAATAATACGGGCATGAAAAAAAAAGGAAGAATGTAAACGTAAAAAACTTAAAACGATATGGAGTACACGGTATCTAATTAGGGTGCGTTCCACTTAACGTTCACAACGCTCGTGGAATCATTTTATCCTTGTCGTTTATTAATGTTAAACAAGGACAAACGATGCTCACGAGCGTTGCGAGCGTTAAGTGGAACGCAGTCTTAGTAGTGTGAAAGGTACGGAGTTTAAAATACATAAGAACACATCATAGATTACGGTCCTATTTGATGCTACAAAAGCTTCAAAGCATCATCAAGTAGCGTCAAATAAACCGCACCTATAGTCATTCCAAATTTACGTTTATAAATTTAAATTTAGGAACATTTTTAAATGACTACCACATATCTTTATCTTAAATTTCGTACCTTTCATCAAATGGATGCTTTATATTTCGCACTGTTATATCACATCTCTATTTCATTTTTATTGAATCTTTATCCGTTACAAAAAAAACTGGCAAGCCTGCGGATATATCGAAGTCTCTAGAAATGGAAATATATAATTATATATTTTTTCGCGTTTCTGCTGTTTTTTTCGGATATAAAATGCTAATAAAAGTGTTGGAGAAAAACAACGCGTCTATGTATCTGACATTATATTAGATCTCTCTTTTTATTGACGAATAAATATGTCCCATAATACTCTACTAATAAATTTACAGACTACTATATGCTAGAAAGCATGTAGGTATATAAACATCATTAAATTCTGTATTTTTATATTATACATACATAACAAACGAAAAATATCCTATTTTATTTTATATAATAAACACAAGTATCGCTGCTTATTGTTGACACATTGAAAAGTATCAGGAACGTAAAGAGCTAGTATTTAAAAAAATACACTTTTTCTGAAAGCAACCTCATATCGTATCAATGCTACTTTAAACGTTACTAGTTATTAGATCGATAATATTCATTCTTTCACTAATTATATTCGTATAATTTGTATGTTTATTTTGTAATTGAATCAATTGTTAATCTCAAACACAATGTAGTATTGTGAGATTTTTTGTCATTTTCGTTATATATATATATATATAGGAACAAAGTAATTCTAAAAATGTCCGATCCCGAACCTTGGACGTGTCTGACAGCAAAAACGAATTGTTCCAAATATTGCAAAATTTACGAGTCTCGTTTACAAAGTTTCGCAAAAATGCAAAGAATCATGTTTTTTGAAATACAAGTTCAAAGTGAAACTACAACTTATTATAGATAAACTATGATATTTCTATACACATTGGCATTTTTACTCTGAACTTTGCATATTAAAAAAAAAATTCAGTAATAGTCTTACATATGAAAAACTCAACTTTCTCTCTTTCTATTGTAATATTTAACTTTCTTAAAACAAATATTTTTATCATCGTGAACAGGAAAAACGAGCGACAGAATTATGTGTAAAACATAATTTAAATAGACGTCTAGTAATATAGCGCGATATTTGTTTTTGTTAACGCGCATACTAGCAGAATGCTTGCTCATCGCATATATACAGGTAGCGCGAAAGTAACTTCAATTCGACTGGATACGCAATAACATCGGCCGGAAGAATTTAGATACAATTTCTAATCGTTTTCTTTATGCTATATTCTATTTTATGTTTATACAATGTGTGTAACTTCATCGATTGCTGCAAACTACACAATTGTGGATGCAAGAGTTTATCTCCATGAGTGCGCATATTTTCTGAAGTATCTTTACTATAGAAGTATATAGTATATATGTATGCTGCATATGTAACACGAATGCGTTTCATTCATATGCATTTGCGTTGTAAAAACCGGTTTTATGAAAATTAATTCACGTGTCAAACAGTTTTTACGCACTAAGAGAAACTGAACAAAGCGAATTTGTTACACACTCACGCGTCTTTATTCGTCGAGACTCAGATAGCTATAGTCAAGGTATAGAATACCTTAATAGATACATGTTACAACACAGTCAGATTAAATTTAAAAGAGTGAAGAAAGTAAAGGTGAAATTTCATGCAACGAAGGAAAGCTAGCTTTTTACTCCCACTTCATCACAATCAAAGCAGTGTTCAAAAGCTGTTCGCTCTTCTGCTTCCTTTTCATGGAGCGTATCTTCGCTGGCTTTAAGTTAACGAATACACTCATTTATTTTCGCTAGCTTTTAATTCATCTTAATAAAAATGGATTACGAGAATGAGAATACATCGAGTATGTAAAAGAATATACCCGCGCGCGCGTATAATAGCGGCTACAGCTGCAGTAGAAATTCGGAGGCGACGCCGTTGCTAATATACAATTATTAAAAAAGAAGAAAGTACTGGATAGCATCCATTTCAAAAAATTGCAACGAACATGGTTTTTTCTTAGCTTCGCTCTCAAAATTAATCTTGGAAGACATACGATTCCATGAACATAACATGGCATGTCATGTATTTCAGAGATGTTCACTATTAGTTGAACAATATCAAACTTTGAGGGTAGCTTCGCTATATACGAAAATTGATAGAGTGGGGATAAAACGGCAGCTTTTATTAGCTGTATGAAATGGTACCTTAATAATGTAATTGTCAATGTTTCTTTTTTTTATAATTTTCAGCACATTTACAGAAAGAAAACGAAATATCGATATGCAGATGTTCTATTCTAATTTCATTAGCTTTTTAATTGTTAGATTTCTTGATTTGTTTGATATGTTCTAATTCCAAGTGCATATATATTTTTGAAGAAAAAAATATGAAATACTTTTATTTTAAAAAATTCCCGATTTGTCATTTGAATTTATTAATTTACCTTCAAATCGCGAATCATCACATTTATTCTTACTTTAAGCTTACATTAATTTTACTGAGCCTCGGCGACAAATAAAATTACTTTATATAAATAGCTCAAAATTTGTTGATCCGAGTTTCGTTAAATTAACGTTACTCAAAATAAAATTGCCTATGTATAAATAATGTCTATAAAGACTATGTAGGTTGCTTCTTTTCTCGGAGTATTTTTTATTTCATTTCATTCGAATTAAATCATAAAATAAAATCTCCTGTCTGCACTGAAATGTAACAACGCATATGATTCGTCAATGCCTGGAACGTTTCAATAATCATTCAATCAAGTATTATAAATATTAAATCAAATGGCATTAGTGAAGATCGTGAGAGATATTACAGTTTAGCGCAAGTAACGTCTTAATGTTGAATGTTAAAATAGCGCAACAGGCAGAGACAAATGTAACAATTTAATATACGATTTTTGGCCATTTTGACCGATCCCATTTAGTACAATTTGAACGTAGAACATAACAGTTCATCGAACTTATTGAGACAATATCGATTAAGTGATAATGATTCGAATTTTGTAGTCGACATGTTTTATCTGTAAAGAGATATTATTGCCTTACTAAAGGCAAGAAAGTGCCAAATGGTATCAATGTGTTAAAAATAGATTATACATTCGGCTAATTACGAAACCGGATAATTGAAAGAAAAATATCACTCATATCTCACTTGAACAAGCACTGCAGCTACTCTGATGAAGTAGATGACGAAGTAGACGATGTCCGGCTAATTGGCTGTCCTGTTCGGTGCGCTTCATTTGCTGCCCTATATCACACATAATAACACATTCAAAATATTTATGAATGTTGTTAATTTAAATAAATAGAAAACAAAGAAAAAAAATTGCACGTCATCTTAAGATCCTTTTATAATAACTGTTTGTCTATTTTATTGCATGAAAAATTAAATAATAAAATACAAATTTGTGTAATAAATATTTTATTACAGAACTTACCTAAACAAAGCAGCGAAACTAGATCCGGCTAAAGTGGATCCAGCTATGTTGGCTGCAGCATCTTGGTTTGCTTCAGCCTGATTTTGATCTCCCAAGTTCTGTCTGCAAATGGGACAGGTTCCGTGCTAGAAAATGAAAAGGAAAACAAAAGGAAAAGATTATTTCGGTATTGATATATGGGTTGTTAAAATTTGGAAATGTTTTTTCAGCTTACTAATTCCAGCCAGGGTACAATGCATGGTGCATGATAGACGTGCTGGCATGGCAATTGTCTAACAGGTTCGGACAGCTTAAAATCTTCCCAACAAACGGAACATTGTAGCTTGCAATCTACATAAAGAAAAAGGGACGTTGTTATTAAAGTGATTTAAAAAATTAGGCCTTCTTTTTATCTGAA